GGTACAGAGTGAGAGTCCACCATGCCGCACGAGTTACTGGTCCAAGAGTAGGCAGCTGTACAGAGCATGCAAGGGTACACTGTGCCAAGTGAGTAACTTTTGTTGGTACAGCAGTGAGTATACGGCTGTGTGTGGTGGCATAGCTGTGTGCATATATTTGTGTGTTTCTAAAATAGCCTCTATACAGCTGCACATGTCAGTACAGCTGTGTGTTTGCAGTACAAATGTATGTGTTTATGTGTGGTGGTACAGCTATGTGTGTGTGTTTTTTTGTGTTTTATTACAGCTGTGTGTGTATATGCGTGTAGGAGTGTGTTTGGTGGTACAGCTGTGGACATTTGCCGATATAGGTGTGTGCATGGAGTGTGTATTGGTACAAGTCTATGTGTGTCTGTGTCTCATTAAAGCTATTTGTGTATATTTGGGTATGTGTGTGCTGGAACATCTGTGTGTGTTTGTCGATACAGCTATGTGTGTATGGTACAGCTATGTGTGAGTATGTGTGTGGTACAGCCGTCTATGTATCTGTGTCTGTATGGCAGTACTGCTGTGTGTGCTTGTGCTGTGTATATCACTGTGTGTCTCAATGTGTGTGTTTGTTGATACAGCTGTCTGTGTATATTTGTGTGTGTGTCAGTACAGCTGTGTGTGTATGTGTGTGTTTGTCAATACAGCTGTGTGTGTGGTACAGCTGTGCATGTGTGTGTTTGTCGATACAGCTATGTGTGTGTGGTACAGCTGTGTGTATATGTGTGTGCTACAGCTGTGTGTATATGTGTGTGCTACAGCTATGTGTGTATGTGTGTGCATGTGTGTATGTGTGTGCATGTGTGTATGCTACAGCTGTGTGTGTATGTGTGTGTGCTACAGTTGTGTGTATATGTGTATATGTTTGTTTATATGTGTATTCTACAGCTGTGTGTATGTGTGTGTATATCTGTGTGTGCTACAGCTGTGTGTATGTGTATATATGTGTGTATGCTACAGCTGTTTGTGTATGTGTATATATGTGTGTGTGCTACAGCTCTGTGTGTATGTGTGTATATATATGTGTTTATGCTACAGCTCTGTGTGTATGTGTGTGTATATATGTGTTTATGCTACAGCTCTGTGTATATGTGTGTATATATGTGTTTATGCTACAGCTCTGTGTGTATGTGTGTGTATATATGTGTATGCTACAGCTGTGTGTGTATATATGTGTGTATGTGTGTGTATATATATGTGTATGCTACAGCTGTGTGTGTATATAAGTGTGTATGTGTGTGTATATATGTGTGTATGTGTGTGTATATATATGTGTATGCTACAGCTGTGTGTGTATGTGTGTGTATATATGTGTGTACGTGTGTGTGTGTATATATATGTGTATGCTACAGCTGTGTGTGTATGTGTATATATGTGTGTACGTGTGTGTGTGTGTATATATGTGTATGCTACAGCTGTGTGTTTCGGTGTTCCAGTGTCTCAGGGCTGCAATGGATGATTGATCATCTGCAGCAGCAGAAAACAGGTTACTGCAGCATCACACTCTCTCTCAGCCCCCTCTCACTCCCTCCCTCCCTCCACATCTTGCTCCTTCTCTCTCTCTGTATCTCCCCCTCTGTGTTTCTCCCCACCCCTCTCCTGTCTCCCAACTTACTCCCATTCCTCTCTCTCCATCTCTGGCGCTCCAATCCCACCCCCTCCCCCTCCCCCCTCCTGCTCTGCCGAAGCCCCAGGGAGTGGAGAGACGCACAGAGTCACGTGGCATTCCAGGCACTCAGGCACTGCAACACTACAGTAACCAGCCGCGCTGCTCGGCCGCCCATTTAATATTTCATTCATGCATCCACCTATCTGTCCTCGTCTGTGTCCACTTCTCTCCCTGCATGTTCACCCGGCCCCGGACGCAGCCGAAAAGCACACGGGTCGACGTCAGATGTCAAGAAAACGGCACCAGAGCTCATGGCAGGGTCTCTGGGATCCGGATCCGAGCAGTTGACTGTTTCAGAGCTGTGCCTGGACCAGTCAGCTAGTGGACCGCTGACGAGAGCAGAACGGCCCAGCTGCCAGCGATCCGAGGGAGACGCCTGCGAGGGCCAGGCCACCCGCCCTGCGCGGAGTGGAGCCGCGATGGGTGGAACTGCCCCACGTGACCCTGCCTGGGCGGAGTGCAGCTAGCCTCGTGTGTGTGCCAGGCGTGGCCTCTGGGGGGCGCTACAGAGTGACCGTGTCTTGACCCCGCAGAGGGACTGTACTGGCGTCCAGCTCCACAAAGGCCTCTCACCCGAAATTGTAAGCTCCGGGATTCCACTTCACAAGTAGTTTCCCCTCTGCCAAGGGGTTCTTACAGAGGGGGTTGGAGCTCGGCGGTTATTTTGCGCCCCCTGCCCAGATGTCACCCCAGAGGAGGCTACAGGTGCGCCCTGGCCCCTCTCCCTCCCTGCTCCCTCCCCGCTCCCTCCCCGCACGGAGAAGTGACATTTCCTGCAGCTCCAGCCAGTCTCTCCCGCTGTGACGCTGTGATGTCTCCCTGCGAACTCCGTCCTCATTAAGTCAAGGGAGAGGAGCTGCGCTAATCAAACACAGCCCAGCGCCTGGCATGGGCCTCACCGCACGCACCCCTGTCTCTCTCCAGGAAGAGTGGGCACACAGCTGTGTGTGCTTAACCACGGAGCACAGAGGAACACACACCTCACAGGACAGAGCTGTGTGTGCTTAACCACGGAGCACAGAGGAACACACAC